CAAGTGGGATGTGGTCCAGGTTCCTAAGCCTGCAGGGAACCCTGCTCAGAAGAGCCACACTTCCATTCAGTTCTACTGAAAATGAAGTCTATTTTTAAGACACCCAGGAGGAAATGTCCAGAACCTTCCCTGGGATCAGCTTCCAGGGCCTCATCAATAGGCTTACAGTGCATGGAAATTAATCTACGGCTTCCTTAAGTTCTTCTCACCAGCACTGAACACACTTCCTATGTTTTGTTTTGCATTAGGATCTGGCTAAGAAGCCCTGTAAGCTAGGCTTGCCTCAAGCCTACATCAATACTCTTACGGCTTCCTTCTGAATGCAGAGATTACAGGCAAGCATCACTATCTCCAGCAACACACCCTCCCCTTTTTATTCTTTCAAAATGCTTCTGCAAATAGGCATTCCAATCAGAAGAAAAAAAAAAAAGAAAAGAAAGGAATTTTAAAAGAGCAACAGCAGGAAGACAGGACTTGAGAAGCCAAGCTGAACACTAACATGCATGATGCCCCAGCTCTGGATGCTGAAGCTTCAAGAAGACACTGATTCAGAGGCACAGATGAGGGTGGCCTCTCGCTCTGATGCAGGGCTTTCGGTTTGTCTTACTTTTTAGAAATATGTCATTGTTGGGAAGTTTTGGATGACAGAGCAAGACGCTACAGATGGGAGGGTGTCAAGAGTGCTGCCTCTGTCCACCCGCGAGGCACTAAGAAGATGAGGAGCTACGCGGGTGCCAAAAAGCTGCCCATACATTTAGGATAAACTGCAAACAAGTCCTCTGTTGACTTTCTGTTCTCCCCAGTAGGGGTCAGCTTTCCGTTACTAGGGCCATCAGAATTTGAAAACCCAGATTCCCTCAGTGAAACCGAGCTGCTCTACAGGTTAAGTGTCCGGTGACAACTGCGGCCACATTTTTTTTTTTTTCTGGAAATATTATGCTAACAGTGAATAAGTTTTCATGACTTCAAAAAATTATTTATGTGGCTGTCTGGTTCCCAGAACTCTGAGGTGATAGCTGGCTAGAGAGGGTGAGCAGTTGAAGTCAGTTCAGCTTACTTCAGATTGTTTACGCTACAACAGGTTTTCACCCTTCTGGCGGTCTGAGGTGAAGCCTGGGCAACTCCTGAAATCCTTGCCATAGCTGATGACCACAGGGGCACTTCTGCCACTTTGGATGAATGTCTCTTTGTTGGTCATCTTGTGTCAACCTGTTGCTTCTCTGTGGGAGACAAACGCTTTCTCCAAGCCTGACTTCTACTCTTATACACGTGGCCAGGTAAACAAGGGCTGGAATGCCTTTTTCTTTCCTTTCCCAGCTCTGTGACTCCAGGCCAAAAATGTCCTAAAATGTGTTTCTTAGTCCAACGATTATGACAAATATCCCAAATTTATACTTAGCAAAAACTATGAAAACCTTTTCAATATTTCTATATTTTAGTGACTAAATTTCTTACTCTATGAACATAAAGTATGAAAACCAAGGCTATGACAAGGGAGTTTGAACCAATATGCCACAGAGGAACCTGCACATTGATGTTTATTTCAGCACCGCTCACAACAGCCAGGATTCAGAGCCTCATTAGATACCTACCAACAGATGAATGGATAAGGAAAACGTGAAATAAGGAAACGTAAAGTGTGATTTTAGTCAGCCATAAAAAAAATGAATGAAATTATACCCTTTGTGGGAAAGGTGGTACTGGAGCTCATCATGTTAAGTGAAATAAGTTTCTTTTTTTTTTTTTTTAAAGATTTATAGTATGTATACGAGTGCTCTACCTGCATGTACACCTGCTTGCCAGAAGAGAGCATCAGATGCCAGTACAAGTGATTGTGAGCCACCATGTGGTTGCTGGGAATTGAACTCAGGACCTCTGGAAGAACAGACAGTGTTCTTAACCGCTGAGCCATCTCTCCAGCCTGTGAGATAAGCTTTATTTGCCAGAAAGACAAACAGCACATTTTCTCTCATGTGTACACTCTAGAGTTGGATATGCATGGCAAGAAAGTAGAATGGAGACTATGGGATGGGGGAGGAAGCAGACCAAAGTGGGAGGGAAAGAGAACAGTAGAGACAGGCAAGGAAAACTTGCACACTTCATTTCCTGTGTGAGATGTAGATTTAAGGATGTGTGTGTGTGTGTGTGTGCGCTCAGGGTGGAAAGCTTGGGAGGAACAAGGAGACCAGGGTGAGGGGTAGGAGAGGGCAGCCGGGGACAAATATAAACCGAGTACAATGAATAGACATGAAATTGTCACGAGGACACCCATTATTTTGTAAGCTAAATAATTTTAATAAATAAATTTAATTAATGAATGAATTAATAAGAGAAGCATACAAGGCTAAAATGTCTGTGCCACTAGAGGTTGGTCCACATGAGTTGCAGAGCAGGACTGCCTCTGGAAAAGGTTCCTTCCCCCAGTGCTGAACAGCCGAACTTTGTGAGAAGGAAGAAAAATACAAATATCAAACTTGGCTTTTGTCCAATACCTTTAACCTTGTTCCTCCCAATTATACTGAGGCCCACTCTGCCACGAAGTTCGGAATCTTTTTATACATGTGTGTGCACATAATACATATGTACACGCGTGTATCAAAACATATTCTCTGCTAAGCGGTTGGTACTATGACAAGAAGTCCTCCAAGGAAGCAATATGAAGAGGCCTTAGGATCATGCAGTCTTTCAGTCAACAGTAAGTATTTAGTGACACTGCATGCCAGGCATCAGACTGGGCACTAGTTACGTGCAGTGGTCACAACATAAGCAATGCTGATGAGGTCTGACGTGTGTAAGAGAGAAGCTGGGGTCAGGGGCAGCAAAGCGCAGGCTCCTGAGGAGTAGAAGGAGGGATAGTGAATGCCACCGGGGTAAGGATGGCAACGTCCTTCCATGCTGTGGACTGTTTGTACACTGAAGATAGCCATGCTCAGGGGACAAGATGCAGGAAGGCTGGAGTTCTAGGAAGAACAGCTAAATGGGAAAGCATTTTCCCCAAAGGGTGGGAAGAGTGTGAGTTTCTCCTGATTGCCTAACATAAGACTTTTTTGAATTTATAGGGTTCAAGATTAGCTTCTCCTGGTTGCCCAGCGTAATTCTTTTTTGGTTTTATAAGGTTCAAGATAATCGTTCTCAAACTACGTGTCAGTATTTAAATTCTTCTTGGACACGTCATCTCAGCTGTGTCCATTCATACTCTCAAGAGCAGCTTGCTAGCCAGCAGTAACCAAGCTCTGTTTGTGGTCTCGTTTCCTGTTCCAGAAGGTGGCTTCTAAGCTCCCAAGCTTGGATTTCAGAAAAGCACGTGAAACACACTGTACAGGACACTTCTCTATAAACTCCTCCACAGGTTCTTAACAACTTAAAGCGCCACGTGTCAGCAAGTGGAAGGCTCCTCTACTTGAAAACAATCCTGTCCAATATACATTTTCCCTATATTGTCTCACTCGTCCAAATCAAATCATAGGCGGTGGGCCATGGAATCTAGCCTAATAAGGACATAATCTAAAGTATGGGCAGGCTACACACGATGACGATATGGTAATCGCAGCACTTATTTGAAATTGTGGAAAAATTGTAAAGCAGAAAACCAGCCATCTTAAATGCACCTAAATGGGTGAATGATTAGATAACAATGATATATTTGTTTCTGGAATTTATTCAGCTCTTAACAAAGATAACAATTTACTGCGGCATGGGAAATGCTAGGAAGGACATGGATATGTGGGAAAATAAAGTGCATGCTATGCACATATTACAATTGCGACTATACAACATGTATTAGTAAGAAAATCCTGGAAAGAATCCTACCAGCGTAAGAGTAATACTACTGCGTGTGTGATGCAGTTATGAGTCTTTCTCCATTTTCTATAACACATTTATAATGGCTTTGTTATTGGAATCCTGTTGAAAGCATTAACGCTTAAAGTTTGTAATTGGATCATTTTTCAAGTCCACACAGCAAGTCGGAGGCCAGAGAGAAGAAATCTGCAGATGAACAATTCGCAATGTCTTGTGTGCCCTGAGATTAACCACGTAGGCAGCATTCCGTCCCTACGATGAACTGAAACATCTTCAGGGCAAGATGTCATGCAGTTGACAGACGTGCTCGCCGTAATCCCAGCACACACGTGCATCTGTGAGTGCATGTGTGAGCGAGTGTGTATGTGTGCGATGGAAAAGGAGGCCATCCTGAGAGCAACATCAGGCAATGTCAAACCAATAGAGTCATAAACGGTTGGAACTGAACCAGATCTCAAAGTTCCTTAAGCCAGGTTTGGAATCATCATCTCCATCATCTTTTATGCTCTGGGTCAAGCGATGGCCCCTTCAAGAGCCATGTGAAGGCATCTAGGGCCCAGAATTCTTACTCCTTCTGTGACTGTTTGGTTTTTTTTTTTGGGGGGGGGGGAGTGAGGATTTTTTCTTCTTTTTTTAATGTGCTCTCAGTTTGGGGAGAAATACAGTGATTTTCCCATCTCAGTTTCTCCAAATGTTTGCCATTGATGGTGACAGCAACCCAGGCCATGGGGTGAAGAGGGGTCTGGTAGCCTCAGGGGACAGACAGAGAACAGAGGTGCCTTTTCTTTCTTCACACACTATGAAAGCTTAATTTGAAAACAGGGAACTCTCTCCCTTCTGAGGGAGATTGCATCAGTCTTAGTGACACAGGAGTTATTTAGGTTACAATGCTGTTAACTCCTTCCAAGCAGAAAGAATAGCTAATGGTAGCTACGGAAATTCCTTTCCTACATGTTTGTAACAATAGGTTATATATACATCTGGCCTTGAAAACCAGAGGCATTGTTGTACATAGAAATAGAATGGACAAAAATAGCATACACACAAAACACCTTGCTGTGTCTCAGCCATCGTCACACAGGTTTTACTAGACATCCATAGAAGCACAAGAGACAACCCCCTTCCACCATCGAATTCACCTCTGCGGCACATTCATTAGTCACAGAGGAAACTAGGAAAGTCTCCCCGGAGGCACCTACCTGTACTAGGAGCTCCAGCTTCCTGTCATCAAGAAGATGTACTTGGCATCGACGGCCCTCCGTCATCTACGGGAGAAAACAAAGAACTGCTGAGAAACCTAGTAGCTGGATAAAGTTCTTGAAGGTCTGCGGGATGAACTCCACTAGGCGCCATGCCTTGCACGAGGCTTCCCCCACTAGGAGTTGGCCATATAATGGCAAGAAGAGTGGCCGGACTATCGGTCATTTCAGAAGACATTTTTGAAGCCCTTTCTGTGTACCCGCTGCTATGATGGAGCTTATTAGACAGAGGCACACAAGACAGACTCCGTGTCCTCAGATGTTTATAGTCCGTGGAGCAGACGTAATATAAATCAGCATGTGCATCTCTAACATACTGCTGGATGATGCCATTCAACCTCTACTCACTCTTCAGCATCTGTCACCATGAACAAAAGGCAAAGCTTCTCTTCATTGTCTCTCTTGTGACTTTCAAAAATGAGGCTTAGCCTAACTGCTAGCCCTGGGCCAGAGAGACCCTGTCTCAAAAAACAGGTGGATGCTAAGGAGTATAACCTGGGGTTGACCTCTGGCCTCCACATGGGTGCATACATGTAGACTGTATTTTCACACACTTGTATAAACACAAGCACAGCCACACCTACAGATACATACAAAGGTATGGTAAGAGTTAGGATCCATAGACTTTTACTATTACCTTTATTTTTTAATATAACTAATTATAAGTTTAATTTTAATTTTAAGTTTAATAAATTAAATCATCAAAATTTAATTTTGGCAATGGCTTGATTTTACACACTATCCCAAAATTCTGAAAATAAAATGGCTGTTGGTCTTTATGAGCTGGATCCAATACAACAGTTGAGGTCAAAGTTCTGTAAGTCCTTTTCAGCTCAGTAGCTTACATACGTTTAAGGCAATGGTTCTCAACCTGTGGGTTATGACCCCTTTGGAGGGTCAAATGACCTTTTCACAGGGGTAACATATCAGACACCCTGCATATCAGATATTACATTACAATTCATACCAGTAACAAAATTACAGTTGTGAAGTAGTAATGGAAATAATTTATGGTGGGGAGGCATCATTACAACACTTGGCTTTGTGAGAAGTCCTCATCTGACCTTTGAGACTTAAGAGACTCCATTAGCCTTGATCATGAGAGCTATCCTACCAGACTGATGTTATAAAAAAAAAAAAACAAAAACGAAAACAAAAACAAAAAAAACCCCAACTTATTTCAATCACTCCACTATTCAATGAAAGTCATTAACAATTTTAAATTAGATTGAAATCTACACTTCTACGCCAACATGTAGAAATGATTCTTTCATATAAAAAAGCCACACCAGAAATGTTAACTTCCAATAATAACCGGGCATTTAATAGCCATGACATAGGTGCTTTGGGTATAATTTTAGAACTACAGCCATTCAGCTCTCGGTAGCAACACTGAGGAAGTGTGAGTCCTCGGAAAGAACGCGGTACAACCACCTTGCATGCTGTTTTGAAGTTTTTTTAAACCAACAAAAAAACAAAACAAACAAGCCGAAAAACTTTTCATCACTTGCTTGAGAAGGCGATCTATGCCTGTGATCCCAGCAGCTGAGACGCAGAGGGAAGAAAATCAGGAGTCTAAGGCCATCCTATGCTATGTAGCGCTGGCTGTCATGGAACTAACTAATTATATTGGATAAGTTTACCCCTCAGATCTTGCTTTCATCTTCATCGGAAAAAAATTTCTCACTGAAAGTAAGTAACATCACTTTATCTATACAGTATGTTGAGTAACTACGTACTGAGATTTATCACAAGTGTGCCCCATGCGTCCCTTGCAGAAAGCAAAATAGCCCCACAAATGTTGGCACAGGGAAGAGTCGGAACAGAAAGCCCGTGAATCATCATGCTTTGGAGGGCACACTCTCCTTTGATAGCATGGCTGCGGTCTGTGCCTCAAAGGGGCACCTGTTGGTTGTTTCCTTCTCAAGGAAGATTGGAGTGCCCGGTTTTCACTGCCAGTGCAAAACAGCTCACCCTTGTGGGTGTATACAAAGAACGAGCAGACATCTGTAGCATTGTTTGGCTTGCCTGACATGCTGAAATTTCTCTTCAGTCCTCACAATTGTAGAATAAGACTGCTCCCCTCCCTCCCCCCATTTTCAGCTGCACAGGCACAATTGGAGCCCTGACAATCGCCCTCAAAGGAAATCCTTTGGAGAGCAAGGCTGAGTGTGGATTTTAGCTGGCTCTGGTTCTTAATCATAAATTACTCTGCTGCCTAAACATTCTATAGTAACATCAGCCTGCCAAGTCCTCCATCGTTTTTAAACATACCCGAAGAATTGTTATTTTGAAAGTGGGGTGTCCAACTTTGCTCTTAAGATACACAGGGACTGATGAAGACTGGACTCATGAACAAGGAAAGGTGATATAGGCAGATATGAAATGACCTGTGTATCATAAAATTGCCAATGAAACCATCTTGCACAGGGGTAGAGATCAGGAGAAGAGCCAATGCTGTACGCTGACCTGTGAGGTGGCAAGTTTCTGCTTATGGGTGGGTCCTCACTACGTGCCCCGGCTATGTACCATGCACTGTTTAACAACTCCTTCAACACACACACACACACACACACACACACACACAGAAACAATGGCGCAATGAAACTCAATACTTTGTATGTTAACCTAAAAGTATCAATGAAAAAAATCAGTTTAAAAAAGATGGTTCAAAAAGAAACCCAGAAAGGTGGAGGTGTTGTTAGAGGTTAGCCTTGGGGAATAGGGCTGGCAAGATTCTTGCTCAGCAAATAAGTTTGATAATGCCTATTTTTAGCATAAAACCACATAATTTAGAGGGCTGGGGAGATGGCTCAGTTGGTAAAGTACTTGCCTTGCAAATACATGGGACAGAGCTCCATTCCCAGAAAAACAGAAAAGATGCCATTAAAAAAGCCCAACCAATGACCCTACCAGGATCTGGTGAATAGTCCTCATGCAGTGGTCACACTGATGGCCCTGATTAAGTGGGTCACAAAACAAAACCCACTGTCATCAGTCTGAGAAGGGGACTAGTAGGGATAGTGGGTGGGATGAAAGGGATGGGAGGGAGATAAAGGGGTGAAAAGCAATCAGACTTTGTTATAGGCATGTCTGAAGTTACCAAACAACAAAATTAGCCAACAGAAAAAAATCTGGGCATTGCGCATCAGTTGGTAAATGGGAGGATCCCTGAGGCTTGCGCCACCTACTTGGCAAGTTCCAGGCCAGTGAAAGACCCTGTCTTTTTTTTTTTTTAAGGTAGACACTGAGGAAAGACACCTGAGTTGTCCTCTGGCCTTCACACCACCCTCACCCCACAAGATGGACAGCCCTACCCCTTCACACAAACACGTATGCACAAGTACAACACACGTGTAATTTACAAATCACGATTAGAGTTGCCTTATTGGCCACAGTATACAAGACTGGAGGTTGGGACACCTTCTCTTTCTGTAGATAAAAAAAAAAATGGCTGACCAGAGTGACTCATAGAAGGCACAATGTTGAAGGAGTTGGGGAGTAAAGCCCATGTGTGAAAGCAATCCTACAACAGCCTGGTGTCATGGTGATGCTGGGTAGGATTATTATTCAAACATGGCACTGGAGTCGACTCTGAGACATGACTGAAAAAACAAGCAAACAACTCAAATCACTTACCATCAACAATAACCCCTTTAGTGGTGATTTCAAGATACTTTCTAGGGAGAAGATCAGGATCCCCAGCTCATGGAATAAATTTACTTCTTTTGATTAGGGTTTGTACTTGAGATGGTCACAGATGGTCCTGCCCATACCCATACAGTGATATAGAGGACAACAAACTCTCCTGTCCATACCACACAGTGATATAGAGGACAACAGAACCAAGGTTTAACAAGCCTTTTCTTATCACGAATATTATCTCCTAATACAAAACCAAGTTGACCAATTTTCATGTGCTTCTTAGCACCTTGTCCTCTGCAGACCCCATTTCCTTTTACTTCACTTTAGGTTGACAGGCTTGGAGGCAGGTGCCTTTACCTGCTGAGCCATCCTACCATCCCTCCTCTGTGTTTTAGCCACTCTTTGAATCCCCTCTTTCCCCCTTTCCGGTCTTTCAACTACTGAGTCATATGCCATAGGATGTGCAGGTACAGAAGAACTCTGAAGAAATTGTGCCAGTTTCATGGTTTCTACCATTTTAGAGATGGGTGACATACTTGTGTGAATGGTAACTACCCGGTGAAAGCAACAAATCCTGAACTTAGAGGGAAAAGCCTGTGGCTTAAACAAAACAAAAAAATAAAACAAGACAACAACAAAACACCCCAACAGTCAGTCAGGAGCCTGGGACTTAGCTCAGTTAATACAGTGCCTCATGTATTCAAGTATACATAAATCTGGGCATGGCAGGGTGTTCTACCTATAACACCATTACTTGGGAAGTAGAGGCAGATGGATCCAATGTTATGGTCATCCTCGGCTACATAGCAAGTTTGACGCCAGCCTGGGCTATGCCTTCTCTTGCTCTTGAAAAGGCAAAGCCAACTAATATATGCTATTATAATTTCTCAGTTTCCTGAGTTTAGTTTATGCTGAAAGAATGATGGGGTCTGGAGCAGAGGAAGAGAATGGGCAGGAAGAAGCCAGCTGTTCAGGATACATTTGCAGGCCTGCAAATCGTGTTTACCTAGTTACTGCATTCTGCTTGCCTAATGTCTCTCCACAAAAAACAAAGAAAGTCATGAAGGTGTGACTCATTCGCATTTTTGAGACGATCGGTTGATGAGACAGTAAAATGAGAACTATTAATGACTGGTGGTGAGAATTCCATAAAATAAGAATTAGTACATGTTTTATTTAGGAAATTGTCAACAGCCTTGAAAACAAACTTAATCCCTATGGGTTACCCCCCAAATGGAGAAGCTGGAGTTCAGTAGCATGGAGTTGAACCAGAACTCAGACTACATGCTTCCTGCTCACAGGGTCCCTTAAGCCGCCAGCAGTAAGGATGCCGGATGCATTACAACAGCACCTCGCAAGCT